GCTGAGGACGCCGGCCGCGCCCGGCCCGAGCCGCGGGGAGCGGGGCGCGGCACACAGGGTCCGGGCGCGGGCTGGCGGGCGGTCACGGAGCATCCCAGCCTGGGGCCGGCCGAGGTAAGTGTCGCCGCGGAGGTGGCGGGGAGACGCCGGCGGGGACCTGTCGGAGCCTTTGTCTGCGGCGCGCGGCCCCACTCGCGCCGCCTCCCGGGCTCCGAGTCCTCACCCGCACCTCTTGTCCTGGGAAGAGGGGTCCCCTCGCCCTGTGCAGCGTCGCAGCGAGCTAGCCCGCTGCAGTGAGCTGCGAGCGCGGGACCCGTTGTCTGGTAGGGGACAGACGCAGACGGCCTTGGCCGAGCTGGATCATGGCACTACCTCTTCCTTTGGGCACACCCCAAGGGTCCTTGCATCCTAAGTTCCTCCCGGACCCACTTCTGTCCATCTTTCTCTTCTGCCCATCAAGCCGCTCCCTTCTAGTTCTTGGGAAAGCTTCTCAAAGAGGTGGGGACTGGGCACAGGGGTCGCGACCTCTGAGTTGCCCACGGAGGTCTCTCCTTTGCCTAGAGGCATGGGTTTGTGATCAAACTTTGGTGTTCCGGCGGAGGAAACATCAGGGTCTCCTAATGTCAGGGTCTGTGCAGGAACTCAGGGCATGGAGGGAGGTGGCCCGGGTTGCCCCTGAGCCCTGAGGATATCCCAGGCCTTGATCAGCCTGTGGCACTGGCTTTCCATTTGTCTGTCCACCGGGGCGCCAAGAGGGGATGCCCAAAGGGGCCTGAAACCCACAATCCTGCAGTAGTGAGTTGAGCTTTCCAATGAGCAAGGAGACTTCATAAGGAATTGCACAGGGGACAGGGGCATCCAAGGGCATCTAGCTTAGCAGACTTGTGGCTGGAGCCAGAAGTTCAAGGCCTGAGGAAGACAAGCAGGCTGGCTCTTCAAGTGGAACTGAGTTTCTCTATCCTCTCTGCTGGCTTCTAGTGGAAAGCAAGCAGCTTGGGACTCAGGTCAGCCCTGCCCTGGGGTCCAGACTAGGTCCTGCAGCCCACCTCACCCCACTGCCCTGAAGACACAGCTTCAGTCCCAGCTGCAGTGGGAGGGGCCAGTGGTTAGCCAGGTCCAATTAGTGCTGACTGGCCGAGGTCTTGACCTTTCTGCCTCCTGCAAACTGAGGGAGTGAGCCTGGCTTTCCAGGGCTGCCCAGAGTTGGGAACCCTCTTCTGCCCACTTGGTGCTAAGGGGTAGCACTGTATGCAACCAAGCTTTTCCTACCAACCACACAATCCCTCTTTGTGAAGTACTCTCACTCCTCTAGGTGGGTAAACTGAGGCCAAGGGTGGTCTGAAGGCCAAAGAATTGATCTGTTTTGTCTCAGCTGTCATTGGGACAAGTGCTGAGGGGTCCCACAACATAGGAGAGCAGAAAAGAGTTTCCTTTTCTCTCTGCACGCCCTTAAATTTTAATTAAAGTGGATAATGGAAGGAAGGAAGGTCTGAGACCTCAGGGTGCTGAATGTGGGGGGCTGTGAGAGGAGAGAGATGAAAGCCACGGGGACAGTGTGGGTGGCAGCTGCCGGCCACACTGACTGAGCCAGAGCGATCAGCCTGGCTGGATGCAGAACACGTCCACTTTCCCGGATGGTGTGGCCTCAGCCAGGCAGAAACCTCCCGTGCTGGCCAGGCATGTCTGGGAGACTGCATCATGGGAGCCCCTACTGAACACGAGCCAGGCTTTTTGGGGTCTCTGATGTCGTCCAGGGCTGACCTTCCATCCTGACTGGATCACTATGAGTGGTATCGTAACACTGTCCCCCTTCCCCCTGTATCTAAGAAGGAATGTTGGGTAGGCTGGAGCCTGAGAGAGACACTCCAAGCCTCCATTTACCCAGCATCTTTTGAGCTCAGGTAGGTGTATACCAAGTGACAGGCAAGGTCAGGGTTGTACTCAAGGCCACCATCATTCAAACCCAGGCCAGCTATGCCCTAAGCAACTCCAAAATGTGGCTAGAAAGACCAGAGTAGATGGTGAGGGCCCTTCAGGAAAGCCTTGAGCATGGGAGGTGAGCGGATTCACATGGGTTCCCAGCCCCCAGAAAGAAAAGTTCTCAGCCTCTTCTCCACTGGCTATGGGTACTGGTCACATGGGTTGGCCCCTTGTAGTGGCAGAGCTCCTTAGGCCCCTGCAGACTCTGAGGCCCCAGGGAGGCCCCAGTCTCTGTTCCTGACCCAAGGACACATCTATAAAGAGCTAGAGAATGGAGAGAGAGGGGTCTAGGAGGAGGACTTGGTAGCTAGTGGGCAGAACCCATATTGGGGTCTGGGAATAGAGTAAACTAAGGCAGGAAAGCTGTAGAAATGAGGAACCAGCGAGGAGACAAAAACTGGTGGATGGTACACAGGGCATGGTGACGGTTTAGCTCCACAAATAACTGATATAGTTTTGGAAGGTGGGGTCCCTTAGGGTGAAGGCCTCCTAGCTTCCCCCGGGGGTTCTCACAGATGCTATGAGGAAACAGAAGCTGTCTGTGTCCATGTTTGGGGTCCAGTGCATGTATCCTTTTGGTATCAGATAAATGAATCGATGGTGTTTAAAAAAAAAGTCTCCTGATAAAAGGTAGAGGTAGGGGAAATGCTAGACACTGTGCACATGGGGTTGCCTACATAGAGGGGCATTTCCCAGCCCTGGAGAACTGAGATCCTTCCCATTCCCCCAAAGATAAGGGCTGACAGATATGAACTGAGGCAAGAAACACTGAGGCAAGACTACAGTGAGTAGAACACCTGCCTAGAACTCTCCCCTGCCGTGAGAGACTGGGGTGTAGCTCAGCAGTAGAGTTGTCTGCCTTGAATCCTCTAGTGAGGGGCTAAGGCTGTGGCTCTGTGGTAGAACACTTGCCTAGGATCTCCCAGAGAGGGGCTAAGGGTGTGGCTCAGTAGTGGAGCACCTACCTAGAATCCCCCAGTGAGGGGCTGGGGTGTGGCTCAGTGGTAGAGCACTTGCCTAGAATCCCCTAGAGTGAGGGGCTAGGGGCTTAGCTCAGTAGTAGAACACCTGCCTAAAATCACCCAGTGAGGGCCTGGTGGTGTGGCTCAGCAACAGAGTGCCTACCTGGAATCCTTCAGTGAGAGGCCGGAGCTGTGGTTCAGTACCAATGAGGTGGGTGTCTCCCAAGCCTGGGTTGGTGTCTGGGTCTACTATTTTCTGCTCATGAGAGCAGAGCAGGAATTGTTCATCAAGTTGTGCTCACTTTTGTTGGCTGAATAACAAATGAGTAGTGGCACCTCCCTCCCAAAGGGAAAGGATGAGTGAGACAGTTGTAGCCCGGTGCTGGCAAATGAAGTCTTCCATAATGTCACTCGTTATTTCTGATTGCTCACTGAGTCCTGGAATTCCACCTCCAAAATATTTTTCCACTACATCTGTCTTCTCTGCTCATTGCTTCCTGCATGAAGGCCACCTTGGCTGCTCTTGGGGCAGTGACCTGTGAGCTGGGCTCCTGGGCTGCAGTCTCTGCTCTTCCCACCCAGTTTTCATAGTAACAGGCAAGGTAGCATCACCTCACAGCTAAGCTTGTGTCCTTCATGATAAAACATCAAAAGGGAAAATCAAGCCAGGGATGGTGATACATTCCTGTAATCCCAGCTCTAGGGAGACTGAGGCAGGAGGATCACAAGTTCCAGATCATCCTGAGCTACAGAAGCAAGACCTTGTCTCAGACAAAATAAGTAGATATAGCTCAGTGATACAACACCTGCCTAGAAGCCCCGTGAAGGGCTGGGGGTGTAGTTCAGTGGTAGAGCACCTGCCTAGAATCCCCTGGTGAGGGGCGCATAGCTCAGCTGTGAGGCTCTGGGCTCCAGCCCCACTTCTACAAAATAAATTTGAAGACGTAAACAAATGTGTAGGGGATGAGTAGACAGAATGACCCCCAGGTACGCAGCCTGGTGACTTAGCAGTGGGTACATGTGTTCTCTCCTCTTGCCCCTTCACCTGCCTCATCACCTTTCCCCACAGTGTGAGCTGCCATGGGCTCCATCAGAAGCCAGCGCCTCAAGGAGCCTGGTATGGCGGTCACATCTGACCGAAGCATGGTGACAAGCTTCAGCTTTGACAGCTTCCAGCTGGAGGCCCCAGCAGGGGGCACTCAGGACCAGGATGTCAGGGTCAGGAGTGTCCCCACTTTTTCAGACCCAGGTGAGTAAGGGTGTGGGCTAGGGATATGTCTACCCCAGGGCAGGGACTGGCCACATGGCCCCTGGTCAATCTTTGGGGAAGAAGGAACACATCTGGTGCCAAGCCTCTGCTCTGAGTCGCAATGACCTGTGCTCCTAGCCATCCACAGCTGCAGGCCCAGGCTGTAGAATTTTTCTCTTCATATTTATTCTATAAAGCAAATCGTGCCTGACTGTAGAGAAGGCAGTTATGAGCCCTGGATGTGAATTTCAGAGCTTGTTTTCAGCCCAGCTGTGTGACCGACCTGGGGCAAAGACCTAAACCTCTCTGAACCTGTTTCCCAAACTAAGGAACTGGCCCAAGTGACTGTGAAATCAAACTTGCAGGCCAGGTCTGAAATTGGTCAGGCAGAGTTCAATCCTGCCTTCCATCCCTTGCCTGCTTGGGGACCTTGGGCATACTTGAGGAATATTGCTGATACCTGTCTCGTAGTGCCCCTTATCACTGTTCCTGGGACTCAGGGGACACCTGTAAGAGTAGCACTTTGTAGGACTGTTGTTTATACTAGTAACACTTCCAGCTCAGAAATGTGAACTGCTCTTGGCCCCACTTTGTCCCTGGGCAGAGGAGGTCCTGCTGCTTGAGTCCCATATTGGGTTGGGAAGATCACCAGCTTCTGTGCAGAGGGACAGAGTAGCTTGGAGCCAACCTGAGAAGATGGCAGTAGACACAGGGGGCAGCAACCCTGGCAGGGTGGTGCTCAGATGTCAGTGAGCTTGGTGATGGAGGTTGCATCAACCAGGATTCAGTTAGAGAAAAACAATCAGTAGGAGATGATAAACAATGGATGGGCTGGGATGGGATGGATGGATGGATCAATGGATCAATGGATGGATGGATGGATGGATGGATGGATGGATGGATGGATAAATAGATCACAGATTGGGTGGATGGACAGATGGATGGAAGGAAATATAGATGATGGATGGATATATGGAGGATATATAAATGTGGATAGATGGATGGGGATGATGAAGGATAGATTGGTAGATGTTTGATAGATTGAAGGATGCATTGATGGATGGATTGATGGATGGAACATGGATGGGTACATGGATGGATGGATAAATGATGGATGGATAGATGGATGGATAGATAGATAAATGACTGATGGATGCAGGGTGGATGATTAGATAGCTACATGGATAGATGAATGGAGGATGGGTGAATGGATGGAAAGACAGATGGATGACTGAGGGATGAAGGATGGATACATGGATGGATGAATGGAGAAAGGATGGATGGGTAGATAGATGAGTGGAAGAATGGAGACAGAGTTGATATGGATATATGTGTACATATAGATATTTATTATTAATAAACTGACATTAAATTTGGGGCTGGTGAAGCCATTATCTTAGCGTACTTTCTTCTTGTTTTGTTTTGAGACAGGGTCTCCCTGTAGGTACAGCTGGCCTAGAACTCACTATGTAGTGAGTTCTAGGCTGGCCTCAATCTCACAGAGATCCACCTGCTTCTGCTGGGATTAAAGGTGTACACCACTATGCTCAGTCTAAAGCACTTTTTGTTGCTATAACAAAATACCTTAGGCTGGATACTGTATAAAGAATAGAGGCCTTTTCAGTCTACAATTCAAGAGCTTGGCACCAGTATTTGCTTGGCACTAGTGAGGGCATCATGAAAAATGGTATCACATTTCATGGTGGGAAACTGAGGGGAAGTAACATGGGCAGACAGGAAGAGAGAGATTCATAGGGAGTGCCAGGCTCATTGGCACCCCACTCTTCTTAAAGATCCCATCACCTCTTCTCAGGACCCCCGTCAACATCACCACAGTGGAGACCAAGCCTCTCCCAGCACATGGGCCCTTAGCAGGAACATACCACACCTAGTCACATACAGTAGACAGGCAAGAAGGTCAGGGGCAGCCTGGAAAGAGCCTCCCATCCCAGGTACCAGCTCTTTGCACTCTGAGCTCCTTGAAAATCAAAAGTCTCGCCTGATTAGGCCAGGCTCACTCGGGAGTTATTTTCTATTAGATAAATTCAAAGCTCACATCAAAGGGACTTTATTTCATTGACCCCCTGCCCCAGCCACACCTACATGACTCATGGAATAACCGGACCCTGTACCTCGGCCTGCTGAGCTGGCCCATGAAACAGACCTTCACAGCCTACCCTTTGCCAATTCAGCTCCCATGCACAGCTCCCTCAACCACACTTATTCCCCAAATAAAGCCATACCAAGGTCCATATAACCCAGGATGACCTGGAATGCATTATATAGACCAGGCTAGCCTCGATCTCACAGAGATCCCCCTGCCTCTGCTTCCTGAGCCCTGCAGCTAAAGACCTGTGCCACCACACCCAGCTGAACATTGTTTTAAAAAATATTTATTTGTGGAGCTGGAGATAGGGCTCAGGGGTTAGGAGCACTGGCTGCTCTTGCAGACAACTGAATTTGATTCCCAGCACCAACATGACAGCTAATAGCCATCGACATGTAACTCCAGTTCCAGGGGATTCAACATCATCCTTGAGGCTTTGTATGCACAAGTGCACTACATACGTGCAGGCAAAGCACTCATATACATAACAATAAAAATAAATAAATCAAGGGACTGGAGAGATGGCTCAGCAGTTAAGAGCACTGACTGCTCTTGCAGAGGACCCGGGTTCAATTCCCAGCATCCACATGGTGGCTTCGAACTGTCTTTAACTCCAGTTCCAGGGAAATCTGAAGCCCTTTTCTGACCTCTGCGGCATTGCATGACACAGGTGCACTCACTTACATGCAAGCAATACACTCATACACATAAAATAAAAATAATAAATAAAATATTAAAAAAAAAATAAATCCAAGAATAAAGAAAGCCGGGTATGGTGACATGCGCTTTTAATTCCAGCACTTGGGAGGCAGAGGCAGGCAGATCTCTGTAAGTTTGAGGCCAGCCTAGTCTACATAGTGAGTTCCAGGCCAGTCAGAGCTAGTAGTGAGACCCTGTTTAAAAAAAAAATAGGAGCCAGCGAGTTGGCTCAGTGCATAGAGGTACTTGCCAACAAACCTGACGACCTGAATTCAATTCCCAGAACCCACATGGTGGAAGGAGAGAGCCAACTTCCAAAAGCTGTCCTCTAACCTCCACACAAGTAAATAAATAAATGCAGAAATTTTTTCTCGTTAGTAGGTGGGTCGGTGGCTGGGTGGGTAAAGTACTTGCTGCACAAGCATGAAAACCTGAGTTTAATTCCCAGAATCCACACACACACACATAAAAAGTATAGCCGTACACACCTGTAAGCCAGTGTTGGGGCAGCAGACAGGACAGCACACAGGCCAGCCTTCTACTGTGATGGGTGAACTCCAGGTCAGTGAGAGGCCCTGTCTCAAAAAACAAGGGGGAGGGCCTGGAGAGATGGCTCAGCTGTTAAAAGCACTAGCTGCTATTGCAGAGGATCTGGGTTCAGTTCCCAGTACCCATGTGGTGGCTAACAACCATCTGTATCTCTAATTCCAGGGGATCCAACTCTCTTTTCTGGCCTCCATGGACATTGCATGCATGTGTGCACTTACATACATGCAGAGAAAACACTCATACACATAAAATAAAAATAAATAATAAATAAATAAATTTAAGTAAGGGGAAGAAGCTGGGTATGGTGGCACATGCCTTTAATTCCAGCACTTGGGAGGCAGAGGCAGGTGGATCTCTGGGAGATGGAGGCCAGCCTGGTCTATATAGCAAGTTCCAAGTCAGCCAGGACTACAAGGAGATCCTGTCTCAACAACAATAATGATGATGATGATACGAGGGGAGAATGAGAGGGGAAGACTCACCTACCAGCCTCCACATGCACACACCCTCACACAATCCCATAATTTAATGGCAGCTCTTGCTCTGTGACTGGCCACGTGATCATAATATGTCTTTATTGTGTCTTTCACAATAAAGGTTCCCTGTGCTGCCAGCAAGCCCCTCCATGTTTGCAGCTCTGGGCCTGACAGGTGACTGAGCTTTTATTTCTGTGCACCCTGGCTTGCCTTAGATTCTTGGAGTCCCCCATCAGCTGCAACACAGAGAACAAAGGGTGGGGCCTCCATATGTCAGGTGCGTTTTGCCTCATCCCTGTGGATAGCAGCAACTTAGTATTCCCATGATGGTCAGGGACAGTGCCCTAGCCACAAGGGAGCTTTCTTGGCTGAATGATAGAATCATGACATATTGGGGGCAGAGATATAGTTCAGTGGGTAGAGTGCTTGTCTAGCACACAGGATGCCTGGGTTCCATCCCCAGCACTGCATAAACGAAGCATGGTGATGCATACGTGTGATCTGAGCACTCAGAAGGTACAAACAGGAGGATCAGAAGTTCAAGGTCATCCTTGGCTACATGGCAATTTAGGGGCCAGACTGGGCTACATAAAGAAAAGTCCTTAGACCAGCAGAGTTTGAAGTCCCAGGGGGCAAGAAGCAAGCATTTTGCCAGTGGGTTGCTACAATGACACTTGGGAAGGACTGATACCATGTCCACTCTAGTTTCCAGACTACAGCATCCCAAATGGGAGACAGCTGCCCACCCTGGACACTGAACCAGGACATAGTGTGTTCTCTGAGGCCCTCACCAGTTCCACAAAGCATTGCCACAGGCTGGTCCCATTTCAGGGTCTTCAAAAGGCCACTCCACTGTTTTGTCAGGCTGGCTGCTCCTGTGGCCATGCTCATGGTGGATATGATGGGATGGCTCTTGGTGGACAGTGGCTGTGACCATGGTGGACAGCAGATATGTAACAGCACTTATAGTGGGTGCCCTGGTGACAGTCACTGTCTTAGTTCCTTGTCTTGTTACTGTGAGAAAATACCTGGCAAAAGCAACATAAGGGAGGAAAAGTTTATTGTGAATCACAGTTTGGGGGCGCAGTCCATCATGGCGGCAGGAGCCGGAGGCAGCAGGTCACATGGCATCCGCAGTCAGGAAGCAGAGAGAGATGGATGCTGGTGCTCAGCTCCCTTTCTCCTTTTCCTTCAGTCCGGGACCCTAGCTCATGGAATGGTGCTGCCCACATTCAGGGTGGGTCTGCCCTCCTCAGTTAACTGTCTAGATGATTCCTCAGGGACTTGCCCAGAGGTGTGTTTTCATACTGACACTAAATCCCATCTAGTTAACAGTCAAGATTAGCCATCACATGGCCTGGAGAGATGATTCAGTGGGTAAAGCCCTTACCTCACCACATGAATACCTAAGTTCAAATCCTTAGAACCCATGTAAAGCGGCGTGTAGTAGGATGCATCTGTAATCCTAGTGCTCCTACAGGAGGAGGTCGAGACAGAATTCCCAAAAGCTTTCAGCCAGCATACTCAGCTCTGAACAACATAAGAGAGAGCCTGTCTCAAACAAGGAGGAAGTCAAAGATCGACACCCAAGGTTGTCCTCTGACTGCCACACGTGTATTTTGGCAAGCATACACCCCACACACAGAAATGTGTGCACACACATACAAACACATATCATACAATTTTTAATTTTTATTTTTTTTTTTGATCTTTTTTGAGACAGGGTCTCCTTGTAGCCCCAGCTGTCCTGGAACTCACTATGTAGACCAGGCTGGCCTCGAACTGACAAAGGTCCGCCTGC